TCAGATCGCTAACAGCAATCGAATTAGAGGTGCTGATTAATCATTCACAGAGCTAGATATTAGGAATCGAAATCGAAAGTGGATGATGACGTAAGTACCCATCATGATGGAGAAGACGAGGAGGTAGTTGTTTTTGAAGGAGTTGAAGGAAGAAGAAGTGTTGATCCGATCCTTGTTTCTCTTGCTCATTTCCAGAGCTGCCACTACGGCAGCCATTACTCCGAACACCAAATAGTAGAATATCTCCATCGTTACTTTTGCTTTTCTCTCTCTCTCTCTCTCACTCAGAGTTGGAGAGCTACGGAGAAGAAGAGAGGAAATGTCAAAGGAGTGGAGAATGTATGTGCGATTGTACCGAATCGATTAAACCGAGTATTGGCAACCGGTTTGTTACTGTAATTCCCAATTTTTTAATTCCTTATTTAATGATTGTAAACCGGTTTAAACCAAACAATCCATCTTTGGGTATTTACATGGGAAACTAATTAATCAAAGAGGGTCTTCTTGCCATTGCCAGTGAACTTTGGTTTGCACCAATGAAACCACTCATGGGCCACAGATACACATGGCAAAGCTCTACAACTCTCAAAGCTGTCTGATGAAACCGAAATCGCCTGAGTTCTAGCTTCTATCATTCTGCACGTAATCCATTTACACCACACTCATCTGACTCTAGAGATATATAAGGGTTATGTAAACTGAGAGAGAGCTTTGGATAATATTCTGTGTTGTTATTCATCTAGGAGAAGATCTCCTTATATACATGTTACATAAGTCGGTTCGAGATATACTCGTATATACACATCATTATCTCCAACATATTAGGAGAGTTTATCTATAGTATCTAATCCTTATCTCAACACTCCCCTTCAAGTTGGTGATTGCAAATTACAAACTCCCAACTTGGTGAGTAAATAGTCAAATGCATACCGACCAAGTCCTTTGGTAAGAACATCCGCCAATTGTTCTGTTGTGCTAACATACTTTGTTGCTATGAGCCTTCCTTTCACTGCATCCCTGACACTGTGACAATCTGCTTCGATATGTTTAGTCCGCTCATGGAAAACATGATTTGCTGCTATATGCATTGCAGCTTTGTTATCACAGAACATGTCCATCGGACCGTGTTCATATACTCCAAAATCAGCTAAGAGACGCCTCAACCACTTCAAATCCTTTAAAGCATCAGACATGGACCTATATTCAGTTTCAGCTGATGAGTGAGACACTGTATCTTGCTTCTTTGTTTTCCATGCGATCGGTGATCCTCCCAAATGCACTACGAAAGCTGACAAAGAGCAACGAGTACGCGGACAACCTTGCCAATCTGAGTCACAATATATTTGTGTGCTCAACGAGCTGTTTGAGGAGAGCAAAATCCCTTGTCTTGGTGTCCCTTTAATGTAGCGAACAACTCGAACTGCAGCATCCCAATGGCGCTTTTGTGGCTGATGCATCACCTGAGATAAAATATGCACTGCATAGCACAACTCTGGGCGCGTAATAGTTAGATAAAATAGTCGACCAACCAATCTCCTAAAGCGAGCTGGATCATCATACAATGGTTCCAGAGGAGCATGCGTTAGTAAAGTATGATTCTGTTCCACCGGAATAGAAAGAGGCTGACATCCAAGCAACCTGACATCTGCAATAATATCTAACGCGTATTTCCTCTGTGAAAGGAAGAAACCATCTGTTCCACGGGAAACTTCGATGCCAAGGAAATATTTTGGCTTGCCCAAATCCTTCATATGAAAACACTTACTTAAGTATGCTTTGAACTTCACCAGCATATCCAAGTTACTACAGCTTATGATCAAATCATTGACATATATGAGAACACGAAGACTGTCATTCCCTTTTATGAAAGTGAAAAGAGAGTAGTCTTCATATGATTGAACAAAACCGAACTCTAACAGAGCATCGCTAAGCTTTGCAAACCAACAGCGTGGAGCCTGTTTTAACCCGTATAGAGACTTACGGAGTTTACAAACCAGAGTGGGATCGTCAGCTTTATAACCTGGTGGCAACTTCATATAAACTTCTTCATGCAAGTCTCCGTGGAGAAACGCGTTATATACGTCCATTTGATGGACTTCCCATCCTCTCACAGCCGCAATTTTAAACATTGTGCGTACCGTAGGGATCTTGGCTACAGGGGCAAAGGTTTCGTCGTAATCCTCCCCTTCAATCTGTCTGTTTCCACACACAACCAGACGTGACTTAGGTCTCTCAACAGTGCCATCTGGGTTAAATTTGTACTTATAAACCCATTTGCAGGCGAGTGCTTTCTTTCCAGGAGGAAGACGTGTAAGATCCCAAGTGCGAGCATCTTCAAGAGCTGTGATCTCAAGACCCATAGAGTTACGCCAACGTTCATCTTCCATAGCGTGTTTAAAACTTTTTGGTTCATCACCAGCTGTGACAGCTGCTAGATAGACACGGTGATATGCAGAAAACAGGTCATCGGAGACATAATGTTCAATTGGATAAGAAGTTGTACCTGGAACCGTTGGCGAGGACGATGATTGAATTGATGTGTCAGTGAGAACATGCGGTGTATGTTTATCAGTGTTGGCAAGTGACACTCTTGCGTTGTAAGTAACAAAATCTTTAAGCCTTACTGAAGGTATTTTTTCACGATGTCCTCTTCCCATCTCTGCTGAAAGGACATTCTCAGACTCTTGAACCGGTGCCGTAATATCAGTTTGGCCAACAGGGTCTTGCTGTGTCTCAGTACTAGTTGCAGGTGCTGGAGTGGAACTCCCCTTGTCGTGAATGATCAATTCTTCAGAGTCGACTACTTGAACAGGAGTTATCACGGAGGTGGATGTCCTTGTGTGTTCTTGATACGGAAAACTTGCTTCATCAAATACAACATCGCGAGATATGAAAAATTCCTCTGTCTCGAGATCATAGAGACGCCAACCCTTTTTTCCATAGGGGTAGCCCATAAAAATGCACTTCCTACTTCTTTCACCAAATTTATCCTTGTTCCGTGTATAACGATAGGCGTAACACAAACATCCAAACGTCTTGATTGTTGTGTACGAGGGAGGGTTACCAAAAAGACATTCGTACGGAGTAATACCATTGAGAATGCTTGAAGGTGTTCGATTTATAACATGTGCAGCAGCCAAGATACTTTCTCCCCAGAACTTTGTTGGTAAGTTCGACTGAAACAGTAAAGATCGTGCGACGTTAAGAATGTGTCTGTGCTTTCTCTCGACCCTTCCGTTCTGCTGTGGAGTGGCCACACAAGATGTTTGGTGAAGTATTCCATGCTCGTTGAAGTACTTAGATAAACACGTGAACTCAGTTCCATTATCTGATCTCACGACTTTAACAAGCTTGTCAAACTGACGGTGTACCATAGCGCAGAAGTTAGGTAGTACTGTGCGAACCTCGCTTTCTCAAGTAGAAGGTAAATCCATACGGCTCGTGAGAAATCATCAACGATGGTTAAAAAATAGGTAGCACTAGAAGAAGAAGAAATATGGTAGGGTCCCCAAAGATCGACATGTATTAAACCAAAAATTTCAAAAGTTTTATTATGACTATCATGAAAGAATTCTCGAGTCTGTTTAGACTTAAAACAAATTTCACATCCGCCGAACTTGTCAGGAATGTTTTTAACACCAACAATGAAAGGTAAGAAATCCAAAACAGCAAAAGCAGGATGCCCTAAACGCCTGTGCCACAATGCCTGATCCTCAGCAGCTTTGACTCTGTGACTCCTAGCGATAGTAACACCCCGATAAACATAAACACCGTTCCGTTTTTCACCTACTCCAATCAGGGTCCTCGTAAAACGATCCTGCAATAGGCAAAGTGTGTCAGAAAACACAACGAAACAACCAGTTTGCTTCAGTAGCTTAGCAACAGACAACAAGGTGCAGTTTAAGTTCGGCACAAATAACACATGTTCAAGAACCAAGACTTTTGACAACCGCAGAGAACCACTCTTAAGTGCAGATACAACACTTCCATCTGATGGCCCAGCATATAGTAAAAGATCGTTGTATCAAACTTTTCTTGCTCGAGCTTGATTATATGGTCTTCCCACTGTCAATTCCACCACCATTGGTAATTGTAACACATCTAGCAAACTGGGACCGTGATTTGTCCAGCATTGGTCTTTCTTTGCGAAACGATGCCGTTATTTTAAATTCTCTCCACTTTACTTTTTTTGGAAACTTATAAGTACCTTTATATTTGACCAAAAAAATAATTAATAAAAATAAGTACCTTTATTTTCTTGGGAATTTTAAATAGAGTTGATGATCGTTGGTTGACCTACCAATATGGTTTGATCACCACACTCACATCTTGGTAACCAGTCCAAAGCTAATTGTTTCCAAAATTCTGCAACATTTTTTAATTTTTCCCATGTACCAAATTTATTGTTAAGTTTTAATCATGGGACCCTTTTTATATTTAATCCATAATCATAACAAATAAATACGACTGAGTGTTTACATCTACCAAAAGGTTTTGGTATCTAATTTCACATAATCACTCCCACTTAATAAATAAGTTAGTTCTTAACATATAAAGAAAACTAACATGACAAACAATATTAAAAAAATGCAACCAAATTACTTTGGAAAGACTTCAAACCAAAGAAACTGAGAAATGTAGTCTATAAGCATAACATCATTGCCTTCAACCAAATCACCAAACATATTTCCATGATCATTATTTTCTTACGTTAATCACGAAAACGCGATCATTATTGACGTGTTACATCATTATATAAAGAAGGCTAACAACTACGTTTTGGAGCTATATACGCTACATTCTATGGAGACAAGGACGTGTAGACATAAAGAGTATAAATACTGATATAACCAATTAGCTTATTCTTGAACATACCATTAAACAACTTTCTAAACAATGACATTTGTTCACCTACTGGTCTCCCTTCTCATCTGCATTACCTTCACGTCTTCGATCTCCGTCGTCCCTGACCCATCAACACAAGACCTAATCAACAGAATATGCAAACAGACAATCGACTTCAACTTCTGTAATAAAGCGATCACGTCTCAGCTTATCAGACGACGCACGTCCATCAAGACAATCGCCAAGCTAACCGCGGCAAAAGCATGGATCAACGCTATAGAAACGCTTGACAACATCGAAGGTTCTCTTCTTCCCAAAGCCAAAGATGGTCGGAGCAAAGCAGAGTTCGCTGCTTGCAGAAAAGCGTATAGATTGGTGGATGCTCATCTCGACAACGCGTTGAAGTATTTGTACCTTAAAGATTATCGGTTCATGAGAGCGTATCAAGCTCTTGCGCTTGTGAATATTTCCATGTGTAGGACGAGTTTCTTTCACCCTACGCCTATGGTTTATGCGAATTGGAATATGAGGATCTTGACGGATATAGCTATTTACGCTGGCAAGATTCTTGCTCCTCCTCCTCCTCTAAGGACCAAGACCAAGAAGAAGACGCCTTGAAACGGTAGTGTTTTGGAGAAGCTTGGTTTTTCTTATTTCTTATTATTGAATCTAGTAGTGTTTTCCAGATTTTTTTTTAAAACAAATTTCTAGATTTTTATATACAGTATATATAAAAATCATTTTGATGGCTTCAGTTTTGTTTTTTTATTAAGTTACAGTTCTTTATCTTGTTTCTTTGGTAGACATTCCTGTAAGGTTGTTAATAATTCTAGCCCATTATAATATTCTGGCAGAAAATTGCAGAATTGTATCTTTATTAATGTTTTGGCAAGAAATTTCCTCACAAAACCTGTATTAATAATTAATTATCATTGTTCCTATATTAGGATGAATTGTTATAGTATATTACAAAAAAAAAAAGAGCTGGTGATAAATTTGTTAAGAAATCAAATGTAAATTTAGAGGTAGCATTCTCTTGATAACTGAGTTAGTGAATATTATCACTGTTATATAGCTTTGCCCAATTGCTGCTGATATGACCAATCGGTCCAATCCATATGGATAATTCACATTTTAAAACTAGTGTTCACGAAGTATAATATATGCTTGTGTTACTTGCCCCGGGAGAAAGATATATGTTTAGATCTATGATCTAATAATTACCACAAGATATTTATATCTAACTACACCAACGCCATACATGACATACATATGGTTCCATCAACACAAATTACAAAATAGAAATGACTCCAACGAAAACTTCGGCCTATAGTTCCGTAAGATATTCTATAAGGGTGTTACTATGAACAAACCCATGTAGATATATTGGAACACCATAGCAGCAGCATTCATGCAAGTGGATAGTAAGGGAAATGGGCCAAATGTATGTTCCTTCAGGTGCATCCATGTCTCTCTTGATTCTCATGTAACCATTTTCTCCCCAAGTTTCTCCCCATGAGTTCTTCAGTAACCAGTATTTAGCTGTGTTGTTAGCATGCCCATTAGGAGATTTAAGTGAGGATTCACACGTTTTTCGAGAGAAACAGTGATGAACTCGGTGCGCGTGGGTTCGTCGTGGTGAATCCGGTTCGTCACAGGTTCGCCACGTGGCGGGCTGTGATTCACCAATTTTTTTTTTTTTTCAAAAAAGTAAAAAAAGAAAATTAATTTTTTTTCCTATGAACCTCTCCCCGTCAGGTTCACTGATGGGGATACTCTTATGTTTCGGATTTCAAGGACACAAAGATGCAAAAATTGAATTAAAAATCAAAATATTAGTTGTGTTTACAGTTTCGGTGGATGGTCTGTGTTTGTTTGGCAGGTTATCAAAATTATTTTTCATCCATTTAATCTTTTTAACAATGGTTATAAGATTATAGATCCACCGAATAAATCAACTCTCTTTTATACATACGCATTAAATAACTGAGTAAAAAACTTTCTCATGAGAAGAAACCCATTTATATGTTACTAGTTGCATACTCCCCGCGCAAGCGCGGGGCCGGAATCATTGTGTTTGCGTATATTTTTTTCGATTTAGTGGTTTAGTAGATTCTTCTAATGACACCAAATATTAATGAAATGGAAAGAATGTAGTAAGAGTGTAAAATGAAAATATTGTATATCTAATGTGTTAAATGTTACTTATATGCGAAGTATGGTTTATAGGAACAGTTAGATTATAATATAGTTTTTAGTGTGTAAAAGTAGGTGTCTATTTTTTTTTTTTGCTGTAAATAGTTTTTATATCGTATGTCAAAACTTGATATAATTCTATATTTATAGTATTTATATTTGTATTAAATGATTTATCAATTTAAAAATAACCTTAATTAAGTTAATATTCGTTGTTTAAGTTTCATTAGATAGGTTTTTATATATTGTTTTTTGTAAGTTTGGGTTTTGTTCATAAATGATGGGGCATTTTTATCTACGGCGTCATCGAGGAATCCATTCGCCGAAGTCTAGAGTCGGTGGTGAGGAATGTTTTCAATGAAATTATAGTAGTTATTAAAATGTAAGAGAAATTACATATTCATTTAATAAATAACGAAAAATACTTAAATTTTGTTGTTTATTTTATTTTATTTCACATACAAATTTTTTGAAAATATATTAGGAATGAGTTAAATGTTATTTATATGGGAAGTAAGTTTATAGGAATAGTTAGGCTATAATATAGTTTTCGTGTGTAAAAGTAGGTATTTTGTTTTTGCTGTAAATAGTTTTTATATCGTAGGTCAAAACTTGATATAATTCTATATTTATAGTATTTATATTTGTATTAAACGATTTATCAATTTGAAAATAACCTTAATTAAGTTAACATTTTTTGTTTAAGTTTCATTAGATAGGTTGTTATATATGTTTTTTTGTAAGTTTGAGTTTTGTTCATAAATGATGTGGCATTTTTGTTTACGGCTTCATCGACTGTGGGAATCCATTCGCCGGAGTCTGAAATCGGTGGTGAGGAATGTTTTCAATGAAATTATAGTAGTTATTAAAATGTAAGAGAAATTACATATTCATTAAATAAATAACGAAAATAATTATTTTTTGTTGTTTTTTTATTTTATCTCATATACAAATTTTTTGAAAATATATATTAGGAAATATGTGCAATGATTTCACTTTTTGAGCTTTTAATCTATATTATTTAAGCCTCATTAAGCCATCCACGTAGGTAGCCGCGTGGGATTCACTTTTTTTTTTGGTCGGTTCGTTTTTGGATTCATTTTTTATTATTTTTGGGTTGAACTATATTATAATAGGATAGTTTTAAGGCTCTTTAAGCCATCCGCGTAGGCAACCGCGTGAGACTTGATTTTTTTTTTTTTTTATTGTTCGTTTTTGCATCCATTTTTAACTATTTTTAGTTTGAACTCGTTAAGCTTTAGGGTTTATCCAACTATTTTGATCTTTAAAACAGTAAGTCATAAAAAAACATAAAAACCTTATAAACAAAAAGCCCATATGATAATAACCTAAATAAAAAAATCAAAAATAAATGATGGCTACGTGAACCCACGATCTTGCATGTTTAATTAGATACCTTATATCACTTGACTAAAGTGTATTTCATTGTTTGTAATCATCTTACGAAGGCTATAAGATTTTTAAAAATACCTCTGGGACCCACAAAACTGTTGACTTGGCGCGGTGTGGAGCCTAGAAAGTGTACTATTATAATATAGACTAGATTTTATACTCGCGCTACGCGCGAGTCTGTTTTAATAATTTAGTTTAATTAAAATAACTTAAAATCAAAATATTAATTGAGTAATATAATTTTCTTATTTAAAATATAATCTTTAATTTAGTATTTATGTTTTCTTATAATTATGTTATCTTATTAGCTATTTAGTTATTTGTATTTGTAAATATAATAATTATGTTTCTAAACATATTCATATTTTTTGGAAATATTAATTTATATTTTAAAATATTAAATAGATTTCTCAAT